TTATTGATTGCGTTTGGATTGATCTTTTATTGATCAGGTCTGTGAAAGAAAATAACTGTCCATTGTACTTGCACTGCTTGTTCCTTATGCCTGACCTGGTCACAATTACTCCCGATATCTGACCTACCTCCATGTATTCCTGGTAAACATTGAAAATTCACATCCTGGTGCCATGACATTGCTCGAAAGAAGTGCAATATGTGTTGCCAGGTCGCTCAATCCAGGGAACCGATGTGCTGTCGCGGTGGGGTGGAAGTGGCGTCGGTCTCTCTGGCATAATTGAGAACTACAGTGTATATCAGAGGTGGGCTCGAATATATGCAGATATGACGTTTGATGCTCACCGTGGAAATAAACACAGAGATCAACAACCAACTCAGATAAGGAAAAGTGAGGGATGTGTGTTAAAAAAAGGCCATAGATGATGTGAAAAGCTTCCTCAAACATATTGACGTTGATGACAAGAATGGATTGTATGTTTTCTCTTCTGGTGCCCGAGTTCCAGCTGAGGTTGAAAAAGATGGCATGCATGCAATTACCACAGGGAAAGACAAGAAAGAGATGTTTACCGAAGAGCGATTAGAGAAAAAGAAATCGTTCTCTGACCCCATCAAGAAACTGAAGCTCAAACCATGGCAGAGACAAAAAAAGAAATTCAAGCTTAAAACATCCCAACGAAAAGTAATATAGTACAAGCAACAAGGGGACATTGCTATCCAGTTGATGGTAAAGGCACAAAGTTCAGGCAGCCAACTTGATCTACGGGAATTCTTTGATCCCTGTTCTCTACTCAATTGGAACGTTGGAACAACTTCTTTGCTAAGACAGATACATTTAAGGGTCTACACTATCTCCGGAAGGATGTAGAGAACTCGCAACCTCCAACCACTGGCAATTCCTTAGTAGTGGAAGATGGTAATTCTACTACCCAAACGAGATGCCTGCATACTTCCACGATATTTGCATCAAAATTCACAATGGAGTGTTGTCCAAATGCGATGCCATCTTCAACACAGACATTTTACAAGCCAGACTCTGTGAAGTCAAGTGAACGGACACGGCGTGGGTGTGCAGAGAAGATGATGATTAAAGGAGGCAAGACCAAAAGATCATCTGACTGGAAGCAGTTCCTAACCAATGGTGAGAATAAGAAACAACCTATTCAAGTTTTTCTGGATGTCTGGAGTAAGCACGACATGGCTAAGAACTAAGAGCCGGGCTAAGAGGCTGTATGGGAAAAGATGATATTCATCAAAGAAGGAGAAGCACAACTGCTCACTTCTCAGAATGGGAGAGAGAGAGAGACACTGTGTTCTGAGATTCCATCTCTAAACTCAACCCAAGAAGAAACAAATTCATGCGTGATCCTTTGACTGCCAATACGGTAAAGGAGCAAGGTTGTGATCATGTGCAGATCAAAAGCTCAAACAGCGATATATTTTTTATATTGCTTCATTACGCTCATCTCACTCCAGACATTACATTACTCTTCCATACAGGAAGAGGCAACAAGCAGCGGCTCAAAGATGTTACTAATTTTGCCCATCACTCCTTGGACTACATGCTTTCTAAGGCTGTGACTCTACAAGCGCGTTTAAAGGAACCAGCAAAGTCAAGCCAATCAAACTGTTACTGCAACGCAACAAATTTGTCAAACCTCTGCCAGACTTGGTGATTGTGGACTGTACCAGAGGAGTTGGTATCCAACCTGGATATTATATATACAGAATGTACTAGTTGTAATAAACAGGGGGGGGGGGTGCGCAACCGAGTTGACTGATACTGATTTTTTGTTTGCGGGAAACATCAGATAACATATGAATGAATAATATTACACCAAATTAGGGGGCTAGACAACTTATTTCATGATAATAGCAGACAAAATACAACTTTTATGTGATTTTGACAAAAAATTGCATATTAAATATATGCAAACTTATGACATCATTAATAATTGAAGACAATAAAATGAATTAAAATAATTTTGTCTAACTGTTGTTGTATGATTTACAAAGATTGTTTATTAATTTGATGGAGGTTATACTTATATCTCCTGAGAAACAGGGTAAAATGTAAGCACATAATTCACAAACCCTAAGAAAATGTACAATACACGGAAAACTGATATGTTTACATACAAAAGAATGGGGAAAAAACAATGTCTACATGAGTTGACTGAATTTTTTTTTGCAGGAAACTTCAGATAACATATCAATAAATAATTTTACACCAAATTAGGGGGTTTGAAAACTTATTTCATGATGATAGCAGACAAAATACAACTTCCTGGGCCCCGTTGCATAAAACTTTTTCTTACCATAATTGAAACTATAGTAGCTACCATAATTGGCTGGCGAATTAATGGTAAGCTACTATAATTGGCATTTTCCATTGCATAAAAAGAGTAGTAAGCTACTATAATAGCAACGTCATTGAATCGATCGAAACAAGCAGGCGCATGCGCAGATCGGTGAGCGGGATGTTTATTTTTTGTCGACCGTCTGCTACTGTTCTGAGAAACCGAAGTTCAGTGGAGTGCTATGGCGTCCCCAACTAACGTAAGTTTACGCCTTTATAATTTATCGATCCACTTTTGTAAACTGCAGTACTTCAGAAATGAAAATGAATTGTTGTTAGTCATGTTGACTTCGTAAATAGTGAGAATCTCTTCAAATTATAGCGAATATAATGACGGTTCTTGTTACGGTGTCGGTGATGAATTGTGTGGTGTGTTGATGCAGGATGGCCCCGCGAATCTCCCCCGGAGCTCTGGGGGCGATTCAACGGTATCTGTGTGTGTGTGCGTATCGTACATTGCTTGTTGTATACGTCCGCGAAGCTGGTCTGCTATTAATTAATTTAAATATCGAAATACATCATCCATGGTATTTCAAACGACTAACAATGCTCCTTACGATGCAGAGTCACAGTTCGATATATTTTCCTTGATTATTTTTCTGTTTCTAGACCTAAGTTCAGCAGTTGATTTCAAGTTGCAATTTTATTATTTTATTAATGAACCACTCACTCAGTCTCAGCTCACTGACTTAGTCCTATTGATGCAGGTACTTGGTACTTGGTAGGATTCCTCCAAAAGACGCTGTAAAGGTGTTTAAACTGGAGGTGTGTCGTCGTGTGCGGCCACCAACTTAAGCCTAAGGTGCTGGTTTAAGTGGTTTAAAGTTGGTTTTCAACTTGATGAGTCATTGACATATTTGAATGACAGACTAAGAAGAATGATAACCGAATTCAAGCTGACTCTGTCTGTGTTGTTAAATTGAATTAGTGATGTGGGCAAGTTGAGTTGGACCCAAAACTAAAAGCTGAATAATATGCTGCTTTACTTAGTTTAGTTTAGTTCAAGACTCGAGTGCTTTCCATAGCTTAATTTTAACAACAGCTACAAATGAGCTAGGCCTGCTAGTGTGTGTGTTGTGTCAGTTGTGACAGACATTGGACACTATACATGTAGATCTTGGTCTACCCTTTCTAGATTATATTGTTGCGTATATAATGTAATTGCACCTCTGTCAAAAAATAGAGGTTCATGGGTTTGCGTGAAACCCCCCCCCCCCCCCACCCCCCTAACGATATTTTGTTTTGTTTTAATATTTAATAAATTTTGCTCAAGAGGAGGGGGGGGGGTGTTAATTTAAAAAAAAATATGGTGCTCTATACCCCCCCCCCCCCCCCCCGATGTTGAGCAACAAATTTATAAAAAAAATGATTTCTTAACAATGAACGAATGAATAACACTTGAAGGTTAATGTAACTTTGGTCTTTGCAGAAACAAACAAAGAGGAGAGGAAACTACAGCGATTGCCAAATCGAGCATCTATGCAGGTTTGTCCAGGGAAAATGTGCCATCCTATTCGGCAAGGCAGGAAACTGCAGCGAACGGGTAAGACTTCTGAATTTATATGATAAAATTTTACGTGCTAATAATGGTACTTACGTTCCCTCCTAAATCAATGACTTTATTTTGAGGTGAGACCCTCCCCTTCAGATTTGGGGCGTGAAGAGACCAATCACTGCAAAATATAGAAGGGGCATTTTGAAACTGAAACAAATATAACTGATGCTTTTAATTGTATTTAATATTTGTAATGTTTGTAGTATTACGGGATGATTCTTTTTCACATTTAGTAGGGTCTAAACGTATTTTTGCAAGGATTAGAACTTTAATGACATAAAATGTGCATCTGCATGAGTGCTATTGCATTCTTGTTCCTGAAACTATAATATTACCTCCAATCTTTATTTTTATTTAGGTGCAGGAGAGGAAGAAAAGGGCGTGGGAGGAGGCAGCCATCACCATGGCGGCCATAGGTTGCCCCAACCGGTCGGGCAAGGACTTGAGGTTGTTGTGGAACGACCTCAGGTCAAAGGCCAAAAAATATAGAGACAGCTGCAATAAGACGGGTGAGTCTTTTTGCTTAAAAATAAAAATTACGATGTGAAATAAAATCTGTGCCACTTTACAATTATTTTGTTGTTATCTGTCTTTGAGTTTTGCATAGAAATTTATTACACAGCTCAAACAGAATTTTTTTAAAGGCCAAGTAAATATGTGCTTTTTATTAAGCAATCTTTTCATTGCTCAGGGTAAGGTGTCTATCTTGACAACAATGCAACTCTGCAAATCTTTCATGTCAAATACAAATCACACTAAAATTGCCATCATCACTGTGATGCCTACTGTAGTCTAATTAAAGGTCAGTGTAATTGTTTTGGTTTAAATTAAATACATATGTAAGAATGTATTGACAGTCATTGAATGATTCTCAATATTTTTCTTATTTAAAGCTTATCTGCCATAGTTTACAGGAGGGATTATATCGCCCTGCAAGGTCACTGGACAGGTGGTTATCTCATCAATTCAGCTCTCAGTTAACATAAGAAAAAGAGGATCATGGGGGACCAATGATCACCGACTAGGCATTGTTTGTTATATAGAGGGCGCAAGTAGCTACAAGTAGTGCAGTGGGCCTTTAATTCTTTTAAAAAAACAAACACATTTTATATATCTTTGAGAAGTTCTATAATGTGTTATCTATTTCTTCTTTTCTTGTTTTGTCTTCTCAATCTCCAGGGGGAGGAGCGTTCGACTTCAATCCAAGGCATGAGATGGTGCTGAGTGCCATGACAAGACAAGTCAAGGAGGGGATCTTGCCTCAGTCCAGCGAGACTGGAGCTTCAACACTGCCGGTAAACATTGATTATTACAGGAGAGTCATAAAAACCCTCACATAAATGTAGAGGGTGTATCGGAATTTACAATTTATCAATGTAATTTTATTTTTTCTTTGAAAAGGTAATTTGATCAAATATTTCCTGTATTTGTTATATTGTTTATTTCACAATTTTACTCCATGTATAATTGTCATACATATTTTTTGTTAATTAATATAAAAAGAGCAACTGCTCTGAATTTCTTGAGAATAAGCAAAACACCTAACCATGCAATTTCCATTTCAAATTTTTGACCAAAAAAAAGGAATAGTATTTACAATTTAGTTTTGGCTTTGTTTTCATTTCTTCTTCACAGTTGTCTCAAAATGCAGGGGCCGTGGAGCTTCTGCAGAGCATGGGGGAGGAGGCAGGAGCGGTGGAGGAGGAGGTGGAGGGGGATGAGGTAGAGATGGTTGAGGAGAGGGAGCCCAGAAGGGGGAAGATGAAGACAAAATTTGGTGGAAAAAAAACAGTGAAAAAGTCTAACGGGGTGTCGTACGAAGAGTACCAAGAGCGTCTCCTGCAAGTTGAGCAGGAGAAGCTTGAAGTGATGAAAAAAAATCATGAGTTGTTGAAAAATAATCATGATTTGATGAAAAGTATGCTGACAGTGATGTCAGAATACTTTTCATCAAATCATGATTGTGCAAAATGATTTTTTTTTTTTTCATTTTTAGAAAATTTACCGTTATTTGATTTGATTCCATTGACTTCAAACATATCAAGATTCTCCTGCTCAATATTTGGTAAGACGCTTTTGGTATTCTTCAAACTATGTACAATTTCACCTCCCCCTTTCCATTCTCTCTCTCCTAACCATCTCCATCTCTTTCTCTTCTTCCAAACATTATTGGTGCCTTTATTGATGCCTCCATTTGTCTTCCCAATTTCACTTTGTAAATCGCTCAACTTTCATCTGTGTAATATATGTAGGGTAAGAAAAATACTCCCCAAAGAAACTTGTAGCCATGCTATTCGATCGCTTGTGCTTAGTAGGTTAGGTTACTCAAACTCCCTATTTATTAATGTGAATAAAACAAATATTGAGAGGTTGCAGGGCATCCAACATCATACCGCCATGATTGTTTTGATGTTTTGAAAGCAAGGAAGCAGGATAGGGCAACTCATTTATTGGAGCATTTACATTGGTTGCATACTGAGAAGAGAATTCGTACAAGGTTTCTTTGATTGTTTATAAGTGCATACACAAATTTCCCTGCTGAATTCAAAGGCTATTTTCAGGAATTTCCTCTTCTACCATATAGCAGATAAGCTGATGTGACAGAGGACCACTCAGCAAACAATGTATTTTAGATTTTGACCAGAAGGTAATTTGTACATTTTGCAGACAAAATCTAATTTTGTCATGTGCGGCATGAATCACAATTATGTCAGATTATTCCTGTCTGTTTAAAGTTGATAGTGACCTAGAATCCAAATGAAACAAAGAATATTGGTAATTTTTAAGACTTTATTGTCAGATTCCGTTGAGTGCATGATTCAATTCTTTTTCAAAGTTAACAATACATGTGAAGAGTACATTTGAATATGTGCACATCGTAATTCCACCTCTTGCAATAACCAAACTGAAAATGAATCAGTCTTTACTTGGCACAAAACATACCACTGTGCAGTACTAGTATCTGAAATATTAGAACCTAAGTAGAAACACTTCCACAAAGACAATTCCAAGTTCCGATATTTTTAAGAGGAACTTTTAGATGGTTTTATCATTTGATTACTCTCAGATTTACACATGTTTATATTTTCAGCCTTTAAATGTATACTCCACCTTTAAGGGAAGATGATAAATTGCACTATTTTGCAAATTCCATAGATCAGTTAGGTACAAGTCAATCTTTAACCTGACAGAACCTTGTTTCTTAACCAACTAAAATTTGTTAGGAGGTCAGAAAACTATGATCACTGTATTTTGTTGTTATAAAATACAGCATTAAAGCTATACATTCACATTTAAATATACTGTATAGTGCTTGCAAACAAGTTATGACATTTATGAAAAGTAATTATTGATGAGTTCTGCTCGAAGAGCAATGCCAGTCAGCTGGTTCTGATCTGCGGGGTGGTGTGGCACTTCATCCGGTTCCACTTCGATGGCTTGTTCCGGTTCTTTAAGGTCTTTGGCGATGTTAAAGAGGCAATTATGATGTCGCATGCTCTTGGTGCAGACATCTGGATCCCTTGTCCCATCAGGCACCTGAATTTGTTTTTCAATTGCCCATTCAATTGTTCTATGGTGACACGTGTTCTGCAGTGTGCCCTGTATACATAGTAGTCAGAAATATTATAATGAATAAATAATCCAACACTGTAGTAATCAATTTTTGGTTCATGCTACATCTCTCAGGATCTTTATTAACCCAACTTACCCTTTAAGAAAAAGCATTTGTAAATATCGATATAATATATGCTATTATCTTGCCAAGACCTTTTCTTCCTTTATTACATCATTAACAAAGACTCAAACTACAATTGTATTCATTTTGTACCAATATAGTTATATACTATTATAAGATCTAAATATTTATTTATCTTTTTTAAGTTATACATTATTTATATTCAAATGAACATAATTTATAAATGTATATAAAGTGTATGGTATTATGATTTATGTTCAAATTTTGAGATGTACTTTGTACAAATATAGTTGGTATTATGTTATTAAACTGATACATTCCATCACTTTTAATCATTGAAGGGCTCTCTGATTATTTGTAAGTAACACTTTAAAGATTTGAGTGAACGTGATGGATTGAGTACTTGCCTGTTGTAATTTCTTTCAGCATTGCCTTGTGGGTCCCGTAGTGGGGTGATTAGCCAAGGCTGGAGGGGGTAGCCGGAATCTCCAACCAAGATGCCAGGTAGCTCTCCGTCTGCGAAACGCTCTCCAATGCGACTGTTCTGTGTATTGAATTATGAAGAAATGTATCATTATTATTATCTTTGCAAAATGTGATTAACAAAACAAAACAAAACAAATACAGTTTGGGCTTCTCTCAGTCCATAGCAAACAAATTGAGAAAGATGTCAGACATTACATAGTACTTTAATATATTTCTTTAATATCAATGTGACATTAATTTGTTTAAATTAAAAATTAAAATTATTAATATAGACTAAATGGATGATTGATGATGATAATGATGATGGTGATAATGATTTTAATGATGAGTAGGATGATAATCATGATATTGGCAGTGATGATAATAGTGATCAGAGATGCTGATAAAACTGTCACATACCCTCAATACTCGGCTGTCGTGAGTGCTCCCAGGCCATCTTGCACACACGTTGGTTATCTTGTACCTCGCATTGCAAATAAGCTGAACGTTTATGGAGTGCTTGCCCTTCCGATTCGTATAGATGTACTCGTCGTCGAGGGGAGCCCCATGCAGTTCAACGTGAGTCCCGTCGACGGCCCCGACAACGTTGGGCATTCCAGCGAGGTTAAAAAAATCGACCTGCGCTGTTTTGACTTCTTCCATGGTTTCCGGGAACTTGATCACCTGTTGGTAAAGAGTAAATATGTGTTAAATTGTTGTCATATATATATGTCACACTTTTGGCAATGTTCAAATTCATAGACTGTAAATAGCGTTAATATTCAACAACAAAAAAAGTGAATGATTTTTCATCTAATTTGATATACCATGGATGTTTTATTGTATAGTACTATTTCTCATCATAGTCAATTCACTATAACGAATTGTTATGATAAGGGAATTTTTTCAGGGGGAGCTAGTCAAGTGTTTCATGTTCAATTATTGATATAGTTCATGAATAAGACATATAAACAGCACTGATTTGATGAAATAAGAAAAAAACTCCCACTATGATGCCATCACATGTTTTAATCAAAGATAACTTTTTAATTATGTATCCTTTATCATATTTAATGGCCCTTTTTTATTAAAAATCAGCCGTTTCATTTCTTTAATTTTGCTTTATCAATTAAAAAAAACAACATCTGGATTTGTTCTTAAGAAGATGGATTTTTTAGGTAGTAAGGAGTATGAAAGTGTTTATATTCATCATTTGGTAAACGTCTCAAAACAACTGGTATAGACACGATCATATGAAAAAAATTAAGCACGATCAAGAAAACAAATTGACAAAACCATAGCTACAGCCGTCTTTCATTTTCACAACAAAATTTTGAGTGTCTAACTTTAGATAATTCTCGCTACACGTTTAATTCGATGCAGGGCGCAGGATCGGAAGATGTAAAGAGAGCTAAGCCTCTAGATCTACCTGCGATCAGCAGAGGTGAACAATTTTACAAAAAACCGTTCGTGTATATTTCAAAACTGTTGAGAGTACTTTTGCAGTACCGTGTTGACAAATTATTATGCTATAGTGTTAAACCAACTCGAAGTTTGTGACTCGGTTACTCAAAACCTTCGGGTAAGTACAGAATCTTCGTGCCTTACATGAAATTCCACATGTGGGACGGGTCGCAAAAAAAAGTTTCGTTGCATTTGGGTGGAGACTACAGTGACTTTAACAACAATTGTATAAAATCTCTGTTACGTGAATTTGATTTCAGTAACCCTGATATATATCCGTAAGCCATTTAATTGATCTAGATTAGTCATCTAAATATTTTTTGGTATAAGGTTGAGAAAATTATGATTCTTCCGAGAGTTAATGGGGGAAATTGCGGTGCCATCGCAGCCGATACGCCAGTCGGCTATCGCTCCGCGGGTGCTGGGCTAGCTGCAGACGGTAGACGGACGCCATAGCAACGACAGGGCTATTTTTTTTGTAAATCGAGACTTGAAAGAACTTATTTAAAAAGTTCATTTATGGATAAAAGATCTCGAATTAAGGCATATATCTACCGAAATGGGGTTTTGCCTCATGAACACTGTACTGGGTATATATTTTAAGGAATGACTATTGGCAAAAATGTGTGATTTTCTTGCCAATTCAACCATGAAAAGTGAAATGATCACATTTAACATAATTAATAGGGCCTACAGGATTTAAAGTCTAAGATTGGATCATATTCATGCCATAAAAACATTTAAAAAATGAATAAATACCTCGTCCCGGAGCTCGCCGAGGGCTAGAGCGACTCTCCGCACCGTTCTAGATGTAGTAGAGATGTGGATGCCATGGATGCAGCTAGTGCAGTCCATCACAGAGCCGGTGGCGAAAAAACGAAGAGCGACGAAAACCTGCAAGCTTGGTGGTAATGCGTGGTTTCTCCGGGTACTATGTTGGATCCTTCTGGATAGTCTGTTGATCAGGTGGAGGCATCCCTGCCTGCTGAACCTATACAACTTGAACATTTGTTCGTCGTCGTATAGGTCCAAGGGATGCCTCCGATCGCGAAATACCCTCTCTCTCCGGAGAGCAGCGGCGTGCTGTATGGCATGTAGTAAGGCTGCCATCTTGGAATGAAGGCTTACCGTAATTGATTGATGGTAGTTAACGCTACCTTCATAGCTGTAGTAAAGTTACCGCTGTTTCTGAAGTGCTTACCGCTAAAAAACTACGTTAACTCTTTATGCAATGGAAAGTTAACGCTAACTTTAAATTTAACGCTGTTTCTGGACTTACCGCTAAATTAGGGGCTTAACGCTACGTTAAAAGTTTTATGCAACGGGGCCCAGGTGATTTTGACAAGTTTTGAGACTGAAATTTGCATATCAAAATATATGCAAATTTATGACGTCATTAATAATTGAAGACAATAAAATGAAATAAAATAATTTTGTCTACCTATTTTTGTATAGTTTACGAAGATTATAAATTTGTTGATAAATTTGGTGGAGATTAGAGTTATATCTGCTGAGAAACAGGGTAAAATGTAAGCACATAATTCACAAAACCTAAGAAAGTGTGCAAAAAAAAGAAAAACTGACATTTCTACATATCTTCAAATAAGGAGCAAAAAACTGTGTCCAAATTAGTTTTTTTCTTGGGAACATCTTTTTTCTGATATTGAATTACTTGACTTATGCCGTCCACGCAGGCCAAGGGCCTCGTGATGGCTTCTGTATGGTGATGGTATGCCAGGTTTTTCTGTCTGCAGCCAGTCTTGATGCATCTGTCAGCCTTCTTATGGATCTTGCTTTACGGTCCTCTAAGATGCAGTCAAGCCATCTTTTGGGTGGACGGCCTCTGGGTCGGTTTCCTGTGACGTTTCCTTCAAAAGCAATTTTGGGGTATCTTGTGGGTTTCATTCGTAGGACGTGACCAAAATATTTGAGTCTTTTAGTCGAGACTTTGTCCATGACATCTTGTTCGAGGTTGAGGGATTCTTTGATGTGGGTGTTTCGGAGCTTGTCTAGTCTTGTCACCCCCATGATGCGACGGAGGCATTCCATTTCAAATACTTGAAGCCTGTTGCTATCTTCTTTCCTTACTGTCCAGGATTCTGCCCCATAAAGCAGTATTGAGAGGATAAGTGTTTGGTACAGTTGCATCTTTGTGTGGCTACTAATGCTTCTTGATGTCCAGATGTTGTTTAATCTTTGGAAAGCTCCCCCCTGCTTTCTTGATACGGTTTTTGATGCCATTTGAACTCGAGCCGCTTTTAGCTATTTTTGCCCCCAGGTACACAAAATCTTCCACCTGTTTCAGTCTGTCGTTGGCTATGTCAATGTTAAGGTTGCATTTCCTTTTGCTGATAACTTGCATTTCTGTCTTAGCTATGTTTATCTTGAGACCAAGGTCACAGCTTGCCTTGTAGACTTCGTCCACCAGTGTCTGCAGTTCCTCTGGTGTCTCTGCTATTAGGACGATGTCGTCTGCAAAACGTAGATTGTTTATGCAGGTTCCTTGGGTTTTGGCTCCTATTTGGACTTCTTCCATTGCCAGGATCATTACTAGCTCGAGGAGTATATTGAAAAGTTGTGGGGAGATGGCACACCCTTGCCTGACTCCAACGGTTGTCTTGAACCATTCTGTCAGCTCTCCATTTACTCTGACCGCACTCTGGGATTGTTCATACAGTGCTTATGGATCCCCCCCCCCCCAAAAAAAAAAAAAAAAATGACAACCAAAAAGTAGGATCATAGGGGGGTGCACGGTAGCCCCCTCTGGCCCACGGACTAATAGTACATGGGTGGAAACCATATTACTCTGAATAGATGTTGATTTTGGTATCGCCTGCGTAGAAAAAAGCGAAACATAGGCGCCGCTTTTCCGGTGACGGCGGCGGCGACAGCGTCAACATAAAAAACAATAGGGTTATCAAGTATTCCCAATCATGTGAGTAGAGTTTCAGGTCACAAAGTCAAGGTCAAAGGTCATTTCAGGTCAACAGACTTGGATTATGTTTTCACAACTTAATGTGAGAATTAATAAATCAATTTGTTTTATTAATTTGTTCATATTTCATTCAAGTTATCGATCGTGGTACAATTAATGGTAAATAATTCTTTTGATGATTCTTAGTCAGTATTCACTTCAAAATGCTGATTATATTCAGAGAATTTCATTTTTTGGACCCTACTATTTAATGGGCCACCCTGCCAATACCGTCCAACCTCAATTTTCATCATATCGAATTGCGTAATGCAGGCGAGACCGCCGACAGCGTTTCCCTTGTTAATGTTCTAAAAGAAATGTTGTATATAATCAAAAATGAATTATTGTACAATATTTTGAATGATATGGTCGGGCTGATGTAAGTAGAGGTGTCATGGTATATTGGTTCATTCACTGGAGTTTCAATCCAAGGTTTGATGGTACGGATCCCGACCTGTTACATGTACTCGCATCCTTTGGCATGACATTAATCCACCTGGCAACTGCTCGGGTAATACTACTGCATTGCCCTCGGAAAGAACCACATTAATGGTAATGAGGCTTCATTGTGTACAAAATAATAATTGTTATTATAAAGCTCTACCACAATAATAAGGACTAAAAATTATAATGTCTCATCGTCTTTGAGTAGGACATACAAATATAACACCAATTAACGTCAAGTACAGGTACATTCCTTTTTCAGTGGTTTTGTGTAGAAAAGAAATTTGAATATTGACATTTCCATCTCAATTTTCAAATACTTAGTACATGGAGGAAAGAATAGGTCACGTACTACATGACCAATTTGATGAGGTCATGGTGGGTGGATTTTTGAAACTGAATTGAACATAATTGCACTTAAACAAAAACCTATTGTCATAGACCTTTGCAATGAACAAAAGTGATTTGTTATAACTTCCATTTTTGTTAATGTTTCTGAAGATGAAATATAGGCCTACTACATAAATATAATATTGCCATGATGTGTACACTCTATTTGTGTCTATTATAAGAATTCCAATGCAGTTCAACATTTATCATTATGGATGTGTTAGAACTTAAATTTAATTGACTTTACCAACATTATGATTGTATTTCCCACTGCCTATTTCATATGTGGTATATATGGTTATATGTTATTGATCTAGCTTTAACATCCCTTGTATCGCTTCGTTGAGGTGACGTGTCGAGTGGTTATGTCACCAGACTGTGGATCACAAGGTCCGCGGTTCAGGTCATCTACATTTGCCACACTCTATAGGTGAGGTAAATTGGTACATTGTAGGATTATTACTTGAAATGCACTGTGCGCTGATAACGGCTGCTGGAGCTAAGGCTAGGGTAATAATTTCCAAAGCTCTTAGGAAGCGCATATGGACGTTATAATGTGGTATACGCTATACAAGAACGGAATATCATTTTTATCATTTCATGCAAGCAGTTGTTTGAGCCCCTATCATGACTAAAGTAATCTTTGTATTGTATTTATGCGTATAATATTGATTGTTGCTCAATAATCTTAACATTCCATATTCTATAGTGTTGGAACAAAAATTGAGTACTTCCCTGTATTTCCCGTTTTTGTCAACATTTGCTTGGCGGTATTTACTGGTATTTACCGCCTGGATTTCCCTGTCCACTTTGCGTATAGTATTCATTTCAAATATCTTCTTACCTGGACACCTGATTTTCTATCGTAGTGTAATGACCCACAATCAAGGGACCTATAGTAATTGAAAAGGAGAAATGAATGGGGAAGAAGAAACGTTGGAAATATCTATATTGTAATTATTAAATAATATTCATGACATACCATTGATATGGTTCTATTTCAATTGCCCCCCTGGGTACCTGGGGGATTTCTGGGGGGGGGGGGGGAATTGTCATCAGGGGGGACGATTGTCTATGGGGTATTTGTCCGGGATGCAGAAATTGGTAGTAGACTTAAGATTTTGAGTATAGGTTATATCATGTTAAATGCCAAGCCTTGAAAAACACATATAGTCTCAATTTGTAAACGTTTCACTTCGTTCATCATCGGAAGGGATCTATTTTAGTAGGGCTACAGGAAAAAAAAAAGTACAATGGTAGCGGCACCCCCTTCTGCGATAGGACACAGAGCGGGCTCGAGATGGCGGGTCAGAAGATGCTAAAAGGAACATTACTACATCGATTCTTTTATGTTTATTGCCCCATCGTTCCTCTAATTCATTTCACTTTCTTTTCTAGCAGGTTATATTTTACTCACGTTACTAATCTTGAATTCATATTTATTCTTTAATACTCTTTCTGCCCTGATAACCAAATTTATTTTAAAAAAAGAATGAGTTCACAATAATTTTGGTTATATTTCTTTATACCCAAACTCACTGTAAATGCAGACTATCCAATGAATTTAAAGATGCTGACGACTCAACAAGTTCAACCAAGTCTACTTCGTCCAAGCACTTTATCCCGGACAGACTTAGCCGCTGCAGGTTCTTGGTTTGTTGTCTGATTAGAAGGCCCAGTCCTCTCATCGTCTCTCTCGATACACTTTTTTTCTCTGAGGGGTGTGATGCTGCTGCTTCAAGTCTGATTGATGTGAGCTGCCTTCCTTCAGTCCGACGGAGACCAGCTGTGATCTGAGCTATCTCTCTCTCCGCATCATCGATAGTGATATCGACATCTCTCACGCCAGGAAACGATGAGAGCAGACCTGCATAGCTTTGTGACGTCACTCTCTTGGTTGATAGCTTTTTGACGGATGGAAGCTCCGAAGGAGTTGGGGAGAAACTGACAGAGGAGTTTGCTATGCTGAGCTGTTTCAGTGACGTGAAGGATCTGAGGCAGGACCACAACTTCTCGGTCATCTCAGTAGATAGCTGACAGTGCTGTATCTGAAGCCTAGTATTCTGCAATGAAATTCAAACAGACGAACTTGTCACTTGCATATGCATCAATTTAAATATTGAGACTAAACATGTTGAGGTATATAGAATTCCGTACCACTGAAGCTTAAAATACAAGGCTTGAAATAATTATTTCATAAAACAAGATTTTCTTTAATAATTCAATTCAGAGGATATCCCTTTCTTGAATATTTTAAAGCAAAACGCATGCACATGTATTGAATGATTTTACTCACCTGGAT